TTATTATTATTATTATTAAAACTTCAAGGGATGCTTTCCTCTTGGTATATCTGCCAGTACAACTGTTCTATTTCTGATTGGTCATGTAAGATTCTAATTGGTGTTTTTATTGTTAGAAGGCATCCATTAAAGTTTTTTTATTATGGATCATTATTTATGTAATTTTATGTGTTGCTCATACTGTATAACTTTTTCTGTTGTTGCTGTTGTCATCTCCATTACTGAGAGCCAGAGTCAGCTTTTAGATAGGCACCTCATTTGTTAAGGCCACTTGCAGTTCTTGGTATCATTGTTGTAGTTCACTCTACACACATTTGCAATGAAAGATGAAACAAGATAAAACATTACAGAAGAATATTTATCGTTGCACTTAAATGGTTTGATACATGCAGTTACACAAGGTACAGTATGTCTACAAAACATAACAGCAAATAAATCTTTGTATTAAAATCCCTAATACAGTATGAGTAAAAAGCTGGTTCCTGGTGTTGTTGAAGCCTCCTGTGACCCGTACTCATTGAACAGCACTGGCAGCAGTGCAGAGACATTAGTTTCTAAAGGGTTTAGAATGGGAATGATCTCTCTAACCAGTCAGCAATTTGCAATTATTTCAGCTTGATCAATAAGTTTTGTTGCATTCTCATTTATTTTAATTCCATAATGACAAATATGTGAAGAGCTGGTCAGAGCATGGTAGATCGTAATAGAGCACAGTTTAGCAGGAAGAGGGAGCGCTGGGTTGAGCAGAGTGGGTGGATTTGGAGTTTCATGCTAGTGATACCTTAAGTTACATACTGTAACTTTAAATAGACTGTACTATAAAGCTGAAAGATACTGACTCAGATTAGCTTATCGGGAGAAGTGAGGCTTCATTTGAGCCTCAGATGACCTTTGGAGTGTATTTTTGCACAGTAAAAGGGTGGTGTACTGTATTTTGCCCCTCGGTTTTTACAGTGCTGTTGCATTCTGGGTGAAAAGATTTAGGGTTGTGTGGAGAGTAGGAAAGGTTACAGTGGCTACAGACATATTCTCCCAATACATATAGGCACATCAATATAAGATGTAAGATATAAGAAAAATCCTGTGCCTATTTTTTAAATAGCTAAGTTACACCTGTTATACAATACAGATCACTGCATCTTAAATTGTGTAGTTCCCCTCAGATTGGACTGCAGTTGTCTGTAATGCTTGTTGGTTGCACTTACAATAGTGTAAATGGTGCATTAAAGTTATAATCCTTAAAAATTTTATAAAATCAAATCCCATTGTTGATATTATTTATGGTCTACATTTTTTCAGCAACAAACATTCATTGTATTTACAAGAGTGATTGTAATTATGTATTATATTAGTATGGATGTAATTCAGCATTGCTATTTGTAATTTAAGGCCCAGCATTTTTTACCCTAAATCGTGCCAGTTGCTTAATTTATGGGCTTCAATCATAAACCTCAGTAAATCAGCTTTTATATTAAGTCTATGGCCAATGTCAGCCACAAAAACATCTAAAGCGCATTATTTATATTTGGTTTTATTGTGTGCTCTGTAATAGGACATGCCTGTATGTAAACAATGCAAAGTCCTGCCTTTCTCATGCAGGTCTGGATACAGTGGGTGAAACAGCTAAAAACATCTAAGCTATTGATAAAGTAATGCTACTGTAGACGTCTGGTTTGAGGGTGATACAGAGAGTTTAACGTGGTTTGGATCCATCCCATAAAGTAATCTTACACTTTGCAATTTCTTTGCAAGTGAGGAAGAATAGATGGGAAGGAAGAGTCACTATTTTACCACAGACCTGAGTTGCTTTGTGCTTCAGTTAAATGTCTTGGTTCTTAGTTTTTTCAGTTCCTTTTTCCCTTCCTTTCGCATTTGTTCAAAAAAACCTGTATATCACCACAATCCCACACCCTCGGACAACCCTGTTAGTTTCTTACACTCACACACACCCAGTTATCATATTTCTCCGGACCACACTGTGTGTTTTCTGTTCTGTCCTTGTCCGGTGTGTTATTGTCAGGTCTAGCCATTTTAAACACCACTTTTACCTACTTTGCACTTATTGTTTACCCTGTCTGTTTGTGTGTGTGTGTGTGTGACAGAGCAAGTGTGTGTGGTGATGCTGAAGGGTGGGATACTTAATTGATACTAAAACTGAATATCTATACCACATTTTGGAGAGGTGAATAGGTGTTATGAATGTGCCAAATATGCTTAATTTGAAACAGCCACCAATGAGATTCAGGGGAGTTGATGAGTAAAAATATAACATTTCTGAAAGGCTCTTTGTCGGAGGTTTATTCGGAGACGTTCCTTTTAAGCCAAGTTTTTGTGACATTAATGGGTGATATTTTCTGCCTAGCTAAAAAACTTACTGCTTCTGTAATAATGCAAATTAATTCTCAATTATATTTATTTTTTGTACAGGCATTCTTTATTACAAGATATTAGATGTATATGCTGACATTATGTATTAATGCAAAGATTTGCAGCTTATACGTGTAAAATGTCAAGTGTTATATAAGACACTCAAATGCCTCATCAGAAAATGTCACCCATAGCATTTTGCAGGTAAGGCGTTTCCTGACTGTGAACTGTAACCTTTCTACTTTGCAAATGGGAACCTTCACTGGACACCAGTTTGTTTCCTCCAGGAGAATAAATCCCTTTAGACAAATTTCCTGTCAAATAGTCAAGCCAAAATGAGAATGTAGCGCCCAAGTTAAGGAAAATAAAATGCATTCCAAACAATTTGAGCTGCTCAGACTGAATCTATCTGATCAGCCGTTCATCTGAGGTCACTTGGAGGGAAGCAAAATGGCCACAAGAAGGAGCTGTGACACATGAAAGGAAAAGGAACTTTTTAATGTGTGTGTTTTACTAGAGCACTGTTGATCACACATATAAACCATTTATAAACCCTTATTAAGCTGGTTATAATGGTTTATGATGCTCTCCAAATGCACTACAGCAGCCCCATTCTGACAAAGCTTACATATATAATCACACATTAATGGATGTATTATATATGTATGTGTATGTACATTATGGCATATATGTGTATATACACAAATATTCATGTTATGAATTTATTTATGTACTCTGGGTATATAAATGTTTTCATATATATATATATGCTGTTTTTTCTGTGTGTGTGTATGAGAATGAAAGTGCGGTGTGTAAGTGAATGTGAAATATATAAATCCTTTAAAACGACCATTTACTTTATCAACCTGCTGTCCTACTGGCCCTTCGCTAATTCTTGTCTTTTTCATGGATGAAATTAGAATCAATATTATTAACCCCACTTTACATTTCACCTTCTAAAAATTTCAAGTTGGGAGCACCGGACAATTTTTTTTAGATTAGATAAGTCAGAGCCATCAAAATTATGTTTTTCAACTTCAGTCTAAACAATTTCCAGTAGTTTTAGTTTATTTTTAACAGATATCTAATTGGAGGCCCCTGTAATTTACGAATGTAAACCTCACTGTCGTTTGTTAGTGAAGTCTGGTAGGTGAGCCATGTACTTGTGATGGATTACCCTGCAAGTTGCAGTACTGAAATATATTTCTGATGAGTATAGATGCCGATATACAGTAAGCCTTTTAGAAGCATAATACTACTGTAACATCATATCAGATTCATGTACAGTAACTACTGACTAATTCTAAATAGTGTAAATGTGATGTAAAATTAATTTCAATAGTAGTAAACATTTATAGCTAAATTGTCATTTTTTATAACATCAAAGTTGCAGATCAAATTAATTAAAACCATATTTAATAAGAACAATGGCTCAAATGGCTACTGCATATGTAATATGGCAGGGGTCACTAATATTGTTGAACCCACAGAGAATTATCACGTGACTTTGCCGTTATCGTCAGTTCTAGTCATTTTTAGCTTATTTTTCTGGTTTTCTCTATGCCAGGATATTTAACATGTCAACTTATAAGGCGATAATGTGTTAATATGTCAGTGTTGTACACCATAGCTTTTCCTCTAGCCCAAGTGGCAAACATATTGCTGGTAAAGGCAAATTTTTCATAGCATAAGAATAGCAGTGCTTCCTAGGCCAGTTTAGGGTCGTTAGCAGCTAACAGTGGTGTTCTGTGTTGAAGGTTGTCGTGGCTCAGAGGCAAGTCCTCACAGCTCTCCCACACCATCCACCGGGCCCCATGGAGGCTCCAACGAAGAGATCTGGGTACTGCGCAAGCCCGTGGCAGGTAATTAAGCCGCGCTGCGCTGAGCCCTCAACTCTTAAGTCCTTAAACTCTGACCAGGGCTCAAACAGTATCTGACATCCACTATATAAAGACTTTCTGCCTGGCACTGGCTTGCAAGTGTCTATGGTTTGCAAATGACTGCAAGAACAGAATCCATATGTCCATTTCTTTGAGCTCAAAAATGATGTTTGAAGGCTTTCAGATACTTTTTGGCCTGCTACTGATAGTCTCCCATGTCCTGCCTCTCTCTCCATCTAAAGCTAGCTGAATTCAGTGACCTTATGTTTAGGACTGCAGCCATCTGCATCGGTCTACAGTCTGTGTGTGTGTGTGTGTGTGTGTGTGTGTGTGTGTGTGTCTTTCCACCTGGATGTATGGAGACCTTTTTAAACCTAAGAAAGAAAGGAGAGAGAGGACGAATGAGAAGAAATATAGTGTGTATGTGTTTTGTGAAAGCGAACATTGTCTCATATACTCAGTCACTCAGTTGTCTGTTTGTCCTGTCTGTCCTGTCCATCTAACCACATGCTGCCCAGTGCATTTCAAAGGAGAGTCACACCTGTTACTACTGTGCATTGCTTTGGAAATCAGCTAAACCACTCAACGTGTGTCTGCGCGTGTGTGTGTGTGTGACTGTGTGCATCCATCTGTTTGTTGTATGTGTGCATTTGTATGCACAATATCTATACATACTTTTTGGGCGGATGCATGTGAATGTATGTTTGTGTATTTTGTGTGTGTGTGTGTGGGGGTGCATGTGCGTGTGTTGCAGGTGGAGATCGGAGCAGCGGGGGTAGTTCAGGTAGTGTGACAAGTGTGAGGTCATCAGGCAGCGGTCAGAGCGCCGGTAGTGCCGCACACATCCTCCATGCTCAGGCTGAAGGGGTGAAGGTAGCACACACACACACACACTCAAACACACACAAATACATTATGTGTATCGCTACAGCTTATAAATACAGATAATGGATAATGAACAAATATCAGCACAGTTCCTTCAAGGAAATTCCTATTTGAAGTATAATCAGTTTCAAATGATATATTTATTTCTAGGAAATATTCTAAGAATAACAATTTCCTACAAAGTTTACTGGAAGGAACAATGTATTTATTAGCAAGCTATGACCTGCAGAATCAAATCTAACAACATAACAAATCCTGATTTTCCTAAACCCTAACATATACAGAATATGAGGAATTACTGGGTAGTGAAATGAGTATGAAAATGATGTTCAAAATATGCAGAATCACAATGGTTAAACTGGTTGGACACTTAAGGGACATCATAGAACAAGAGTTACACAATAATCTCCACCACCAAGTCTTTTGTGTAACAATACTGTTTCTCCCATGAATTTCATAGACTTGGAGAATCGGTACAAAAAAGCAACAGTTTTGGTTGGTTTGGTTTGGTTGGTTTTTCTGTTACCCATCTGTACAGTGTAGCACGCATTTAGATAACAAACACTGTACTGTATGTGTGACAAGATGGTTATTTACTTATAAACACAGGTGAGATATCTTTTAATATCCATGCAGCAACAGTAGACCCAGGTGGTCCTCTTTACTGACTGGCAGCATATGTCTTCTCTGCGTTTCACTCAGTTAATTCGCAGCAGCTTTAGACAGATTTTCACTGCAGTGGTCGTACTGGAAGCATCAGAACCGAGGTTTAAATGAGATTAATGTAGCAAAAGTCAGCACACATCACATCTTTTGTTTCAAGAGAGATTTTATTGCAAAGATCAGTCTTATGTGAGATGAAGAGGGTTATAGGACAGCTTTTTTTTTTATATTTCTGAATTAAAAGGTAAAAGAGTTACCCAACTTTTTTCCACTGAAGGAACCTTCAAGATATCACGGTGCTCTAATGGAAAAAGATGTCTGAAGATAAGTTAGCCAGAGATTACACTGCCATCACAATATGTCATTTCTAAGAGGCAGGGTTGACTATATTATGATTTACAGTAAAACAAGCAAGCGAGACCTTGTGATATTTAAAAGGAGGCATAACACTCCTCTAATAAAAGAGGCTAAACTCATTAGCAATAAAACACATTCTCACTTAACTTACAACACTTGGATTGTGCCACTACTATACTTACACTGCACTAACCAATACTGTTAGCAAACTTTAGATTGATATTACTGTATAACTCACAATACTTGGACTTTTGGCTTACTTTATGATTGTTCTCTACTTGCACTACTACACTAAATGTCAGCATGTAGCAGATAAACAGTTTAATGGATTTATCACAACAAGAAATAAACAAAGAAGGAAACATGTTGATCACTCCTCAATTGATTTACTGTTTTGATTCACTTTCACTGCTCTTATCAGCCCTGTTTCCGGCAGCACCAACCAGTTGTTTTCGCTGATAAAACTCTGATCAACCTACTGGGCACTACCTGCTCACCACCATATGCCACATAGACAAAATTAGCAACTAGTTAGCAGCTATGGTGCCAGATATCTTACTAAGGAGCTGGTGGAAACAAAAATTAGAGCCAAAGAAGAGTGAATATTAGACATAGTGCTACGTGGCTGATTGGATGTGCATGTCACTCATTTTTTGCTAATATATTAATTTTATACAATGTTTGTGTATTTACAGCCAGAGGTAGCAAAAGTTCATACATTTATACAGATATCTGTTTAAAAATAAATACTGGTAAACATGGAAGTACTGGTTAAAACTCTTTACTTGAGTAAAAGTAACTCTTCGAAGAACATTTCTACCAGTGTTTCTGTGCAAACCTAACTGAGTCTTGCATCATATAAATATATTACCAAGATTATTAAAGCATTCTAACTTCAAATAAAATAAAACATATACCAAAGGTAATTAGCATTAACTAATGAAAACACATTTCAGGTATAATTAAGCCTTAAAGGATAAGGCTGGTCATTATCTATAGTCTTTTAAACAGTCCCCATACAGAGACTAAAACCAACAATGAATTGTCTCTACTCTCAGTTAATGTTTGTCAGTCTCAACCTGGATTACCTTATTCATCTGTGCCTTAGACCGCCACTGTTGTTCAGAAACAATTAAAAACACATTAGTGAAACACACCACTGCACTGGGTGATATTTCCTTATTTCGAAACACCAGACCAGTATATTTGTTAAAAATGTTGGTGTAAAACCTTCCAATGACCAAAACTTTTTACAGCGTCTGAAGTAGCAAGGCTTAAGTGCACATGCGTGAGATATTTGTGAAAGCACGAAGGGCTATTAGACTGTAAACAAAGCAGAGAGCTTGTAAAGAAGAAACATAATTCCCTCAAATGTATAAAAACCTAAAATTTACTAGCCTGATTTGAAAATATAAGGAGTAGAAAGCAAAAATAAATGTCAGGAGCAAAAGTAAAACATTCTCAGGAAAATAAATACTCAAGTAGAGTACAGATACCTGAAAAATCTACTTAAGTGTTTGAACTTCACTAGTTCTCACATCTGTTTACAGCTATCTCTGCTGTCCACGAGTTGTCAAAAAATCTATTAATGATGCTTTAATACAACAAAATGTAAGTTGCTACACTGTTATTATGTATGTGTGTATGTATCTGCAGCTTCTAGCCACCGTCTTGTCCCAGTCTGCCAAAGCTAAGGAGCATCTGCTGGAGCAGTCCAAGTCTGTAGATCAATCTGCAGGTGAGCCAGGAGGGCGATCCTTCTTTTACTCAGTTATACTATAATGAGTTTAGTATTTCAGGCATGGATTCACAGAAACTGTAAGTGTTCTGAAACTGGTGAGAATGAGGGAGGGCGAACATTTGTTGTAAATAAAGAGAAAACAGTGAAAACCAGCGAGCAAGAGAGCTGGATTAGAAAACCACCAATGATAATCCACTGGTCTTTTAAAAAATGCCATCATATCACACATACACACTTATTCGCACATACAGATCTTGGCTGGTTTAACAGACAGATGGCCAAGGCAGGGAATGTAGGAGGAAATGCAGAAGGGTATGATTGGCTAAGAAGGTTTGTTATGTCTTGGAAAGCAAAAATTTGATTGGGTGTTTATCAAAGCAATAAAGGAGACTGACCAGAATTCAGCTGGTGGAGGAGGATAGAGGTCAGTGAGGGAGATGAGTAAACTCATCTGTTGATGAATGTATGTTCACAGTGATAGGGTGACAGCTTGACACTGGCCAATGATATTTCTCCTGGCAGGATCCACCAGCTCCTCTCGGACATCTAGCCAGTCAGGCTGTCCGCTCCATGAAGCGCCACCCTACGACACCACGGCAACCAGGAAGGGGGAGGGGCCAGGCGAGGGGAAGGTAGGACAGTCCCAGATTCCCACAGATTCCGTCTTGCACAAACACACAAGTCATACACAGTCACTACTATCAGCATCTAACTGCGGCATGATGAGGATATAGCTCCTCAGACACAGACTTGTACACACACGTGGACATACACATACACACAAACATACACCAAGATGTCCCAGCGGTTTCTCTCACAACTGGCCTCGTCCGTGCTGCGAGTGTTTGGATGCAGCCATGACACGGTGAGTGTGTGAGTGGGAGATCTGGAGTTTGATCCTGTATGAGTCTATGAACAAAGAATTTTGTGTGTTAGTGTGTGTGCGAAAGAGAGAAAATTCTGTCCTTTATTTTGTCTGGTTTCTGCTCTCCATCGATGTTCATTCTTTTTAGTTGCAGCTTCTTCCATTGCAGTTTTTTTTATTTTGCTGAGATAAATGTTCCTGTACTGATTGTTGGTAGATGCACCTCAGGCAAGCATAACTCTCTTTAAGATATCAGTTTGTCTGTGTGTGTGTGTGTGTGTGTGTGTGTGTGTGTGAGCTGGCAGGTGCTGAGCTGTATGCATGGTGTGGGTGGAGCAGCTCGGCACAAGAAGTGTGAAATCGAAGCTTACACCATGTACAGTAAGCTGTCATTTACTGTAGAGCCTGTGTGTGCATGTGTGTGGGCCCATGTTGAAGTTCATGTTTCTTTGTATAATTATTTCAAGCCTGATAAACCAATGAGCATATTTAAATAGCAGGTGGTCATGGTGGTTGTGTGTGCATTGCTTGTCTTGTGTATGTGAGTGTGTTGTCATGCAAGCCATGTTCTTATGGCCATCTGTTAGCTACAGTCCTGATTCCTCAGCACTCGGCATCCTAATAGTTCCATCGGCAGGGCAATGAGGAAGAAAGAGGGGAAGTAACATCAATCAGCTCCGAGAGACAGTGTGCAGGAGGAGGAAGGTCTCTGGAAAATGAGGTAGAGAGATATAGAATGGTCAAAGACAAAAGGAGACAGGAGGAATGTGGGAGTTCAGTAGAGAAGCATAGTGTGTGGGAAGTAGTCAACCAGTAGTTTAACAATTACACCCAGTCCCGCAGCTCTATTCTCTGGTGTCATCAAAGCAAAGTCCTTCCTAAAGTCAACGTTCCCACAGCTTTATGGAGCTTTAAATCATGTCAACAAGACAGAGTTAGCGACTTGTTGGTGAACATAGTGGAGCATTTAGAGAAGGTGGCTGAGACCAAATACAGAGCTAAAAGGGAACTTAATATTGGACTTGCCAGGTTGACTGCACTACTTCTCCAAATTAATGATAATGTCATTCCATAACTGCTGGTAAATTAGCAACTGTTTGCTAACAGCCATATCAACTTAAAAGACTATGATTTGTCAGTGTTGTGTTCCCAGCTTGTCCCCATAGCTGCCAACTGTGCAGTTTGGATTCTAATATCACACTCTGTGTAGGCTACTAACTAGTCATATAGAGGAAAGTAAACAATAGAAATACAGTTTAATAAAAAGCTAATAAAATGGCACTGAAGGTGGGAACCCACAAAGCAGCAAAACCGTTTAACGCTCATGTACAAAACACACACAGAGACCACTGTGGATTTAGGTTCAACCAGCTTAATTTAACACAGCTCAGTCTTTGATACTGAGTCACAGTCACAGTGGAATTAGCAACTAGTGGTCACCACTGCACTACAGTGTTTACTGGCCTTTCTCTTTCAAACACAGAGTGTAAAAGAAACTGCATACATTCTGTTTTGCCTTTACCTCCCAGCCGTAATGTTTCACCTGCAGATAAACCCACTTTGCAGCTCTTGCTGAAGCACACCAGACACTGTAGACAGGGTCCTTCTCCTTCCTAACCTTAGCCTGTTTTTCACTACAAGGTCAAGCAGGGCTAACTGGGAGTAATTCATTAATGTTATCAGTAGACAGCAGGGTTATAGTACCACTGAGCCATTATAATCATCCAAAAGTCTATAAGAATTTGTCTTTTTGAATTTACTGTAGTAAAGATATACTTAAAACAGGTTATACTGGCTGAAAAGGAAAACAATCCCTTGCTATACTTACTTCACCCCTGTTTGACCCTACTTGGCCCTGCTAAGGAAAAGTGGCTGGCAGACATGGAGCCAGTGACAGCATACCCCCTGTCTTCTCTCCCGTAGAGCTCAGAGGCCGTTGTCCAATGGCTGAGCGACTTTCAGCTCCAGGTCTACGCTCCAAACTTCCTGGGCGCTGGGTATGACTTGCCCACCATAAGCCGAATGACCCCGGAGGTAAGGCAACTGAACCCTGACCCCCTGAACTGAGAGGTCACAGGCACCTCCAAGGACCACAATGGAAACAAGTCTGCACACTTTGATTTGTGCTGTCCTTGATGTTGTCGAGATGCATGTATAACACGTCCTTTAAAAAAACTCTTAATGAGCACAAGTAAATCAACAAAAGTGATCTCAGCCATCCTTTCCCTGCCTTCTGCCAAACCTGCCCTAGTTGAACCTTTCACTTCTCACCTTTGACCTGTGTTTCTCTCTGATTTCTGGTGCCCTTTGAATGTCACCACTGCACTGGTATGTACGGAGCTAGTAATGTACATGTGAATAAAGTAAATGCTAAATAATTGAGAGACTGAGTGGGTTCAAACTACAGAGCTAGTGTTCATGTATAATAGGTATTCTATATGTCCAGAATGAAACATCAGAAAGAAGTTGATGAGAAAGTGGAGCCTCTATCTACATCCACTGATGCGGATAGATGTAGAAAGTCAAGATCGGGGCTAGAGCCTATCCCAGCCAACACTGAGCGAGAGAGCGGGGTACACCCTGGACATGTCACCAATCTATTACAGGGCTGATACATATACACAGACAACCACTCACATTCATACAATTTAGAGTTGGCAGTCAACCTAAGCTGCATGTCTTTGGACTGTGAGAGGAAGCCAGTGGACCTGGAGGAGATCCACACAGGCACAGGATAAACACACAGACTCCACACAGAACAGCCCCTGGCCAGCGGTGAAGTTTGAGTCTGGAACCATCTTGCTATGAAGTGACAGAGCTAACCAGGGCACCACGGTGCCACATGAAAGAAGGACAACAAAGGAAGGAAAACCCACCACCAGTGTGATTAATGAAAAGAAACTCTCATCTTGAAATCATAAGAGACACCACATCAGTCAGATTTTTCAGTCACTGTCTTAAAGGAGAACCCAACTAATTTTCTTATCAAGAAGATTACTATTTATTTATCTGTGAAAACATTATACTGTGGCATGGATGAGGTCATCAGGTTTTTTTCAAACAGTAGTCTGTGTGACGAACTTGGGGTATGGAATTTGAAGGATGTGGACATTTACTAGGCAGGAAGGATCAAATGAAAAATGTTGGCCATTTAAAAAAAAAGTTTTTCTTGTGATGTACAGAAACATGCTGAATGACTGAAGTAACCTTTTTAGGTAAATATTTAGAGTAAATATAAATTCACGTTGTTATGCTACATCAGCCCATTCATACTTGTTTAACTCTCAAACATCATTTTAACCGCATCATATGTTCAAAAGGCACCAGTCACAGTTTAAAAATATTTCATACTATAGAGAACTCAGTCTGACTTACTAAAGCCAAAAACGTATCTAATAAGGTAAAAAAACAAACAAACTCTGGTTTAAACATTGTCCACCTACATGAAGTGGTAAAAATAGCGGGTACTCGGTTTAGATGAAGCAGAGCTCACCAGTACAGTTCTTTTATCTCTATCATCCTTCTGGTGCTGCATAGTGTCACTGACTTTATGCTTGCAGTTTACTTACTGTATTTGGCATTATTTCTACATACTGACATTTTAGCTGCCAGGTTGACCAGTGCAGATAAATACAATATATTCATTAATGAAACTCACTGGACTTTTCGTAGACACATACACGCACACACAAACAGCCTCCTGATCCTCTCCTTACCTTTGATGCTGCTGCTGTCTGTTAGGCTGATGCTCTCTACCACGTCCACCTACATACAAATAATTAATAGCATATATCAATTATTTGCACATATACTGCAGTCATAGCTGTGCATGCTGAAGAGCATTCTCTGGAGCTGACATAAAAGGGTTTTGTTATCAGATTTATGTCATAAATCCTTGGCCCTGTTACTGTCAGCATCACATTTGATATAATTTACAAGTTATGCAGTTGTGTAAGTTTGTTGTGAATGTTCTGTATATCTGTAAAAGTGTGTTCTTGTGTGTCCTCTATTTAACAGACAGTGACGTGATGATGCACTGTTTGATCATTAATTGAAGTTCCAAATAAATCTGCACTGTATCATTTTTAATTCGCACAGTTTGAATGTAAGTAAGAACTTGTTTATTTATGATGAAATATGGAAAACAAAGCAGGGGTTGAACTGAAGTGATGTTATGGAGAATCAAGCGGATCCATTGCTTCTTTTTCACAGCAGACATCGACTTTTCCTATCCTTGCTTTTCTTATGATTTTGTGACATTTACATTTCGGTAGAAGCTTTCATGGAATGTCACGCTGTCTCATTTCTTTGTGTAGTGGGTTTTTTTCTGTGGTGTGTGAATCTGTGAGATTGCTTAAGTGCAGAAGAGATTTTAATGCACTTTGTGGAAGAAAGGCCTGCACATACTGTGCCACATGCCTTATGCGTGTGTTTGCATGTTTGTGTGTGTGTAGGATCTGACAGCTATTGGAATAACTAAACCAGGTCACAGAAAGAAGATGACATCAGAGATTAACAAGCTAAGTGTCACAGAATGGCTGCCGGAGCAGAAACCTGTGAGTACAACTCAGCACATACACACACAATGCTTCAGTGAGTAGTTAGATGTTTGCCTGGTCATATTTCTCTTTATGTCTATCTCTGTATTGGTTCATTAAAAATGCCAGATATGTTAGCTGGCTGCCTTGTTTTCAGAGGCGGGATAATAGGGTTAGTGTCAGTTAGCCTGATGTGTACCCATGTTTCTGGTCCTATAGGCCAGTCTAGGAGAGTGGCTGTCTGCCATTGGTCTAAGCCAGTACCACCAGGTGTTAGTGCAGAACGGTTATGAGAACATCGACTTCATCACTGACATCACTTGGGAGGACCTGCAGGAAATAGGCATCACTAAACTGGGTAAGTCATACAGATATATATATATATATTATTACATTAGAAATAAAAACTGCTTTGAGAGTAACCCCTTGGAAACACTAGATTATGCAGGTGTCAGTGGCTGGGATCTAGATTCAGCACCATGGAATAAAACAACATAGGAACATAAAAACAAAAATTACACAGAATCAACAGTTAAAAGAAGGAAGCATCAGACTATGCTATGTATTAAAAGCCGAAGTGAATAAATATGTTTTAAACAATGATTTAAAAGTTGTCAGGTCTGTAGTTGATCTAACATTAAGAGGTAAACCATACAAGCCACAAGTGTGGTAAATGTGGATGCATAAGAGACTTGGGATGCACCCTTTGTGACAGTAAAGAAAGTCGTAGTTTAGGTTTGGGGTTTTCAATTACTTGTGACCCGGGGAGCACCATTCTGACTAAGAAGTCAAATCAAATCAAATCAAAATTTATTTATATAGCACTTTAAAAACAACGTCTGGTTGACCAAAGTACTTTAGAAGGGCAAGGTAAGAACTAAAATAAATAATATCAATACAGGAATAAAACAACATAGGAACATAAAAACAAAAATTACACAGAATCAACAGTTAAAAGAAGGAAGCATCAGACTATGCTATGTATTAAAAGCCGAAGTGAATAAATATGTTTTAAACAATGATTTAAAAGTTGTCAGGTCTGTGGTTGATCTAACATTAAAAGGTAAACCATACAAGCCACAAGTGTGGTAAATGTGGATGCATAAGAGACTTGGGATGCACCCACAGGCATGCTGGGCTCTAATGCCAACCCTACTGTTACTGTGTTCTGTGGCAAGCCTTTCCATGTGTGTTACCTTCATGAGCAGCTATGCTTTAACACATTAACAGATGAACGTATTCAAAATAATCCTAGTGTAGAGCAGACATGTTATATATGGAGCTGTTAAACTGACAAAATGAAATCAAAGGTTATCATACATATCAAAAATATATGATTTACTGTACTCTGAGATAGAGAATTTGAATTCAATGTAAAAAAAAAAAAATTAAAGCTAAAGTATGTAACTTTTTCAAATATTTTTGTCCAAAACGTGTCTTAATGTGGAGAGGTCCTGTGGAAGCCTCCTGTGACCCAGACTCATTGAAAAGCACTGACAGTAGTGCAGAGATATTAGCTTCTAAAAGGTTTTGAGCAGGGACTGACCTGTCTAACCAAACAGAGATTTTCACTTATTTCTGTTTGATCACTAAGTTTTATTGCATTCTCATTTATTGTAATTTCATAGTGACAAATATCAGCAGATCATAGAAGAGCATAGCAGAGCAGGGGAGAGGGAGCACTATGCTAGCGATACCTTAAGTTACATACTGTAGCTTTAAGCTCTATGACCTACTTTTCCTTTAACTTCTGATTAGTTGGTAAAAAAAGTAAAACCATTTTTTGGGCTCTTCTATTTTCCAGCTTTTTTGGATGTGGCACACATTTAATCATTTATACATTCCTTGTTTTCCGCACCTAACATTTTCATTGTGGTCCTTAGACAGTAGACTTGCACATGAATATACTGTAAATACTATGACATGAAGATATAGCCTAAGTATGGTGTCTGTAAATATATAAGTAGTGTTTGCTAGGTAATTGTGTTAGCATTAGCTTGTTTTAGCTACTGTTTAACATTGACGCCGTTATACTATAGCAGTATATAGGCTAGTATAATATGTGACTGATTAACATTATGTGCAATGACTGTTTATGTTTTAGTTTTATGATAAGAGTTTAGCTGGTGCTCAGTGTGTTTAGAAACCAGTGCTGGTGGTGCTGTCTGTTTAGCTAGCTAACCACATGGCTCTCATTTGGTGATTGTGAAAAGGAAAATGTTATGCAGGGAAAATAGTGAATAGATACAGCAAATGAGTAAAAAACAAAAACAAAAACAAGAAAATTAAAGAGCTGAAAAATGAACAAGTTAAAGACAAATAGAAGAACATTTAAGTTTTAATTTAATCAATCAAAAACGTTTTTTCTTTTTGTTTTAACATGGATTCAATTTTTGTAGTGTTTTCTACTGCATTTAACATTCCATTTGAACAACTAGCAAGGTGATTTGTTGATGTGATAAATAACAACCTTTTACAATATGTTGTTTTATATTTGCTACCTATGTTTATGTTCTAATTTGAGGAAAGATCTACAGTACATGTGGTGTAATATTAGTTATTGTAATATAAAAATACATTAAGAATAATTGTCTTTAATCATCCTAATTTAACAAGAACATAAATTCTAATTTTGTGATGTTTCAGGCCACCAGAAGAAACTGATGATAGCGGTAAAGCAACTGGCTGAAATGCAGCGCAGTTCAGAGGGGCGGGCCTCCCTCAGAAAGAAGCCCCCACCAATCACACAACAGCAGGAAGTCATGTCAATGGACAGCCCGCCTCCAGACGGTAAGCAAACAGATTATAGTTTGATAATGATAAACTTTCAGTGAGCTTTAAATTATTTCTCTAATATGGCAGGGCTG